AACTGCACAATATCAGTTTTATATTTTCCAGAAATTAGGCTATATCCATTATTCCAAACTGATTTGAATATTTACCGAATATTGTTCTTTTGCGAGTTTTTCTTGTATTTCTGGTGAACACTAACACTTAAAAAACTCTGCAGAGTCGACTCGCATGAAGCTGGAATGTGATAAAGTAAAATTCATTGTATAGTAACATTAGGCAGTCACCATCAAAATCAATAATCTATTAAAAATATCAATCGTTACCTATTTTCCCCAAACACTAACCATGGGTGTATTCATGGATCCATATGTTTTAACAGAGTCGTGGCAGTTGAATCAAGAAGAGAGAATCTGCTTCGAGGTAAGATAGAAATGTAATTTCGGTAGGTATCAAACGTTGTATTTCAAGCTGGTGTGTTTCATTTTCCAGGTAGAGATGGTCGCGATGGAATGCCAGGAAAACCAGGTTCGACTGTTTTATTTTCAACACGCATTACCTAGTAATTTGCATTTTGAGTTATTTTACTTTTTCAATCATTCCGTGATATTTAGGCAAGGATGGTCATGATGGTAAAGACGGTCGGGATGGTAAAGATGGATCACCAGGCCCGCGTGGTAAGATCTTTCATGCTCTTTGAAAAGTTATACAACGACAATAATTATACAATTACCCCTTTCTTTGGTCTAACAGGCTTGAAAGGAGAGACAGGACATCAAGGTGTGAGAGGCCCACCAGGACAAAACAGTAGTGGAGTACAGTACGTAAGATGGGGAAGAACCACCTGCCCTTACAATGCTACTCTTCTTTACAAAGGTAAAAAAACTCTAGTGCACTTCGATCCCTTTTAAAAAATTTAGAAATTCATTTTATTATTATTCAGGTCGTGTTGGAGGGGAACATTATGGCAATAAAGGTGGAGGAGCAAACTACGTGTGCCTCCCTGAGACTCCCAAATATGGAAGATACGAAGATGGCAACCAGGAGGCTGGGTACATGTACGGTACAGAATACCAAGTCAGCACTTACAACCCATTCACTAAAAGCAACCTTCATGATCACGAGGCCCCATGTGCTGTGTGTTACGTTACAACACGAAGCACCGAGATGATGATCCCTGCTACTTACGAGTGTCCCGCGGGATGGACAAGAGAGTACAATGGATACCTGATGTCTGACTATCATAATCATGCTCATGCCACGCAATTTATTTGTGTCGATGAAAATGCGGAGGCTGTTCCTGGAACGAGTGCCAATCTCAATGGTGCCCTGTTGTATCCTGTGGAAGGAAGGTGTGGAGCTCTACCTTGTCATCCATATGTTGATGGAAGAGAACTGACATGCGCAGTGTGTACCAAATAGTTCCTAAAATCAGTCAACTGCTCCTTTTTCTGGATGCTGTATTTCACGAGTGCATCATCACAGACAATTACACTTAATGTTAATGTTAGGCAAAATAATAAAAACCCTTAAATAAACATAAGTACAAGGTGCTACTAAATGTCTTGATTTCAAGCTATTTCTTGACCTCTAACTATATCAAAAAATATAATAAATGTGGCGCAATAACAAAAAAACAGTATATGCCAACATCCAATGTTATCTAAAAATGTGGAAAACGTTTTAGCCGATATTATAACACAAACAATTACAATTACAACACCAACATCATATTTGTGGCTGTTGCAGTAAGGCGCAACGCTCCCCCATCCATTGTGTGAACAGCTTGCAAGTGAGGACTCTGAGCCTGAACACCCCATGTTGTTGAGCCATACCTTACCCGTCCCTCGTCCATTTGGCCAATATCCTACAGTTTTGGAAAAACCAAATTGCCGACATGCAACCTTGGCATCATTCATATCAAAGTAACATTCAAATACTGTTCCCCACTGGCCACTGTGGTAGACTTGTATAATGCCGCCGACACCCTGAACTGCGAAAAGTAAATTATCTATTTACTTCTTTAAAGTTTTCTTTCTAGGTATTAAACATTAAAGTACCGGTTTAGTTGCTCTAATAGTTCACGAACTTAGAATGTTATCAATATAGAATTTTGTACTCATGCATATTAAAAAAACCTATAAAGAATAGGTTACACTTGGTAATAGAAATTATTGAAAGTGAAACCGTTTGCAGATATTTTCAAATCAAGGGGATCTTAAACTAATTAGATATTTAAAAGATCAAGTGTTATAAGTGTCATTAACGACAGATGTGTTCAGTTCAACCACCTGAGATGACCAAGAGACAAGAGAATATGGTAATGAGACACAAACATCATATGTGTGATCGTTGCAGCTAGACTGAATACTTCCCCATATTTGATCTTAGATTTATATGTGGTAATACTATGACATACTACAAGAATACTTTCAAATTGAATCCAAAGTTTGCTTCATTCGTGAGGTAACGCAAATAATTAGTCTGGTTTTTTTAAAGTGGGACATGAAACTTTATCCTACCCATATACTCACAAGCCATATCCTAGAGTCCTTTTAAAACCAACAAGATGTTAAAAAAATTCACCCCCTTCCCCCGCTTCAGTTGAGTTACCAGACCAAGAAAATATTACACATCAGGTTTCACTACTTCATATTCAAAACTAAGCCCTGATAAACGTGTGCTCTAAAAATCAGTTAACTGAGACTATTTTCTGGGTTCTGCATTTCATGAATGCAACAACATCGACGATAACAATTATTTTAATGTTGATACCACATAAAACCAGAGTACTAAGCATTATTTATATTGTTTTCAATAGTACGTTGACCCTGAGAGAATCTTTTCAAGAGCATTATTTGCATGAAGATCTGCGTACTGTAACTTCATGTTACAACATACTAGACTTTTAGTGTGACCATAGAATCCCATACGTGTTATAAGATTCTAAGGCAAAGTAAAAACCACGTAAACGAAGGCGAGGCATATTTCTTTGTCTTTATAGTCTATAAAAAACTTTAAGTTTGAAGATAAGCCGCTTGGTATTGTGAATTTTCTGTCATTTGTTTTCATTAGCTTTATAAATTTTCCTTAAATTCTTATCTGTGCTATGCTCCCTGTGAAAACAGCCTGAAACCAAATATTACCACAATACCATTCAAATATAGACTGTTTCAGTATGTGGAAAACGTTTTAGTTGATATTACACAACACGACACCAACGTCATATGTGTCACCATTGCAGCTAGATGACACACTACCCCATCCATTGTGAGTACAGTTTCCAAGTGAGGACTCTGATCCAGTGCATTGCATGCCCTGCAGCCATACTTTACCCGTTCCTCGTCCATAGACCCAATATCCTACAGTTTTAGTAAAACCAAGTTGTCGACACAAAACCTTGGCATCATTCATGTCCCAGTACCAACCACTAGGTCCATCACACACTGTTCCCCACTGCCAATTATTCCGTATGAAATTTAGTTTAGCCCAAATAGTCCAAAGTCCCGAATAGTTTAAGCCAAACTAAGTTAACCAACTACATTGCCTTTCCTAGTACTCCATTACTAAATTTTAAAATATTTTTCCAAATAATAATTTTTGGAAAAAAGAATAACAACAACGGTAATATCAATATCTCCTATGACGGCCATATTGGCCATTAACGCTATTATTAATGAATAACTAACCACAACACCAACATCATAAGAGTGACTGTTGCAGTTGGAGTCAACGTTTCCCCATCCACGGTGAGAACAGCTTCCAAGTGAGGCCTCTGAGCCTGTACACTGCATACCGTTCAACCATAATTTCCCCGTCCCTTGTCCATAATACCAAGGTCCTATAGCTTTGGTAAACCCAAGCTGACGACAAGCAACCTTGACTTCTTCGTTGATATCCCAGCTATAACCATAATGACACACTATTTCCTGGCATACTCAAGATTATCAAATAGTCTATCAAATTTAAATATTTTTAAAAACTTATTATTAGAAATCGTTGCGATACTATGCGGATAATGGTACACTGTTCCTTATTCACTATTGTGACTGACTTAAAAAATGCATAACGTAGTGGCTTTTCAGCTTTTTACGATTTTTTTTCCATTCGTGAAGTAAAGCAATTAATCAGCCTCTTTAGGAAGATATTTTGTATAATTTGTTTTGGTATCTTTTTTATTATATAAGTAGGCCGTGAAAGGGGGGAGATTATTCCCAGTTCAACCCTTGTCATATACTCAAAACTAATATCCTTGAGTTACAAATTGTCGACAGGCAGCCTGTGCATCTATCTAATCATGTAATATCCAGTTTGTTTCGCAGGCTGTTCTGAAACAGTTTGCATCGTATAATCAACGTTCTGAAAATGAATTAAAACTTTGGCATTTCGTATATACAGTAATTGCTAATCAATCATGCAATCTCAACATTATCCACTTTCTGAATCTATACCAAAATAGAATCAATGACGCGCAACAACAACAAAAACCAAAACTGCATTCTATGCCAACATCCAGTGATAATTCACCATGTTGAAAATGTCTATATTACAGTAAATAACAGCAGCATCATATGTGTGGCTGTTGCAATAAGACTCGACAAGATGAATTTCAATATTTAAGAGACAGGAATTCTTTTGTTTTCATACCCAGATTGGGAACCAACGCAAGAGGTCTGTCTATTCCTTTAAAGCAATTTTCCAACAAATTGTATCAATATAGTTTTGAATTTTATACACGTATTATGGTTCCCTACGAGTTTTCTTACTTATGACACCGACATCCTATGCGACGATTGCAGAAAAAAAAAGAAGAAAGAACAACCTCAATATACGTAAAAAGAGCCACAGTAAGAGTCTAACCACTTGTAGCTATTCATAAGCCTGGCTGCTAGTAGTGCCTAAAGCGAATTCATGACCAACTGCCCAATAGTCTTATTTGCGGGGCTCTACCAACTAAGAAAAAAGAGTAGCAAATAAAAATGTTAAAGCAAAAAAGTATTAGGCGGTTGCATTAAACAGGGTAGCACATCTGCATCCCATTGTTGCATCGAGAGTCAACATTTCCCCAACCATTGTGAAAACAGCTAGCAAGTGAGGCCTCTGTGCCTGAACATCCCATTCGGTCTAGCCATATGCAATAGTACGATACAGTTTTGGTATGCTCTCAACGAATTCGGGGACCCCCATTTTTTATTTCATATTTTCATACTAGAACTAAGAAGAAATGTTTGTGCCAAATTTGAAAAACAATGTTGGAAAAAAACTGCACAATCGTATTACCTTAAGTATAAAATCCATTACGAGTATTGTAAAGAAGTTTAATTTAAATATCTCATTTCGTAGCAGAAACAAAAAACTTTCCAAAGTGTTTCTAAATTTTTTAATATTTATCGTACCTATCCATTCTAGCTCGATAGTTGTTCAACTACCGTATCAAGCGTTTTTTGTACCTTATTATAAGAAATTCTTGCGAAACTTTAATATTGGTATTTCGATAATCGACCTTACATTTTTTTCTTTATCATAACTCCAGCATCCCTTGTGTGATAATTGCAGTAAGAGTCTACGTTTCCCCATCCATTGTGAGAGCAGCTTCCAAGTGAGGACTCTGACCCTGTACATTCCATGCGGTATAACCATACTTTACCCGTCCCTCGTCCAAGACGCCAATATCCTACAGTCTTGGTAAAACCAAGTTGCCGACATGCGACCTTGGCATCCTTCATATCCCAGTACCAGCCGCCATAATACTGTTCCTCATCACCCACTGTTCCTCATTGACCATTTTATACTTACACTAAACACAACACTCAGCAACTTATTTTTCTTATATACAACATCAAGCTAACATCATATTAGTAACTACTGCAGTTAGAGTCAACACTGTCCTTCCCTTTTGAGGAAAACTCTCAAGTGAGGACTATGAGACCGAACACAGCATCCAGTATAGCTATACTTTACCTGTCCAACTGATATATTAAAAATTGTATAAATGTATTCATAGCAACGTAATCTTGAAGTCTGAGACCTCATGTGTCTGAGTTTTATAGCTGGAGTCAACGTTTTCCCGTCCACGGCGAGAACAGATTCCAAGTGAGGCCCTGGAGCCCTTAAAATGCACAACGTTCAGCCATATTTTTCGCTTTTCTCGTCCATAGTACCAGGATCCTATAGATCTGTTATAATTGACCCAAGTTGACGACAAACAACCTTGACTTCTTCGTTGATATGCCAGTCATAACCATAATGGCACGTCGTTTCCTCGCCTACTGACAGTTGTATTTGAAAAAGATATTGAAAGTGAAGTTAACGTATCTATGAACTAATTCTTCATATCCACTATGATTTCAAAACTAATTTCACCTTTAAAGAGGTAGTTTATAGTCAATATTAATAGTCAACAGAAGAACATAGAGGAACCGTCATCGTATCATAGAGGAACTGTCTCTCGTTAAAACTTAAATCGAACGTAAGTATAAGAGGAATGAGAAGGTATTTTCTTGGGCTTGATTTTTGTAGTCGGAAGAAACATTGCGAAAACGGATCGTGGTCTTACGCTTAAACATAGCTCGGCCATCCTCTTTATAGCACCTATGTTGCGCTGTATAGTTCATACTCAATAGGAGTGCTAAATGATTTATTCCGTAATTATTTTTTTTACAGTACTCTATATGCCTCCCTAGTGACACAAAGAAATTAATTTCGATATGATAATATTTGACAAATAAAAGTTGTGGTGGGGTATTACTTCTTACTGAGATGGTAGCACTAAGTTCGTTTACTGAGGGGTTAGAGGATTCGATAATAACCTATATGCTCACAAAATCCTACAGAGGGGGAGTTATGGACGGAGATACATGCTTATGTAATTGATACGAACATTGTATAGCGATCTCCATTGATCTGATACAAAGCATCAATGCAGTAACGAGTGATTAACTTCAACTTGAATAAAGGTTGCTAGTGAGGCTTCTATTACAGCCGTACTTTACCGGTCCCTCGTCTATATGTCCAATATACCACGATCTTTATGAAACAAGGCTTCTAAATTGTCGACAAACAACATTGGCATCTTGCGTATCCCAGGCACCTTCACACTTCCACCTCCACACTGTACGCCATTCTTAATATAACAACAGATAAAAGATAACAGCACACCAACATCAATAGTAAAAGGAATATCTTTTGCATAAAAGAATGAGTGTTATAACTTGGCAACTGAACATCGTGGTGATAGACTAAGTAAAATCAACCCAAGCCCCTTATTTCAAGACATCACGCTTAAATATTAATAAGAAATATAGTACACCGACATCCAATGTGTGACCATTGCAGTTAGAGTGAACACTTCCCCATCCATTGTGAGTACAGCTTCCAAGTGAGGACTCTGAGCCTGTACATTGCATGTACTGCAGCCATACTTTACCCGTCCCTCGTCCATAGGCCCAATATCCTACAGTTTTGGTAAAACCAAGTTGACGGCATGCAACCTTGGCATCATTCATGTCCCAGTTCCAATGACACACTGTTCCCCATAGGCAACGACTTTGGTATCACGAAATAAATAATAAACTTCGCTCGAACGAGATGAACATACATACTCGCGCAAGTTAACAAATTTTAAGGTATTAGGATACGAAAAATGACGATTTGCTCGAAAAAAATTTTTTTTTTAAATTTCGTAACTTTAAACTTTTGTCTTTCATATGTTTGTGAAACTTCTTGCAATATTTGATTGGAAAAGCCAAAATTTTGAGAAAAATCGAAATCGTGACTTTATCAAGACCGGAAATACCCCGGCGCTTAATATATGCACATCTGCCATCTTCTACGTAACACACGCGGTTATTTTGATCCGATGGAGAGTGACAAACCCGCGTCACAAACTGATGTGGTGTTTGTTTGAGACAAGAGAACGAGAGACAACGAGACAAGTAGCCTGCGTCACATCCGGAATTTTCTTCGTAAATACCGTCTGCGAAACATCGCCAGAAAGCTTGTTCTGGACCCCCCGCAAATTGCGCGATTATATATAATTGATTCTGATTGGCTGTTAGCCATTGCTCATTCTAACGTGAACTTCCATTGGATAACACTATCAAACCGGATGTGAACGAGCAAAGCGTCCTAGTTTTTAAAATGATATTTTCTCTTGATGAGGATCTTTGGACTAGAGCGTTTTTAGAAGTAAAGAATCAGTTCAGAAATAGAAAATATTAGTTATATTAGTAGTCATATCTCCATTATATGCAATGGCTGTGTATTAAGATAAATGAACATCAACACGAGAGGCAAAGTGTACCAAGTCCCTTGAGATACTGAACCTATAAAAAAAAAGGCGGGGTCTCTTTCGAACTCAAAATTGTATGAAAGGCAAAAGAAACAATATTTTACATGGTAGAAACAGCGCGCAGGTTTTGAGGAAAGATGGTAACAAAAATACAGGTGCACGAAAATATATATTCTTGAAACTCCAAATAATATATGCTTTTGCATGTAATCTAATTAATTCGATAGTTTTTCTTGATATCCATTTTTCATGTAAAAAGTACTTAGACGGTATGTGATTAAGCAATGTTTCATTACTTTTGAAATCTTTGATTTGGCGGGTTGATTTTCACGCCTTTCATGCTTCCAGTCGAAAAGATTAATACCGACGACGCGTCATTTCAATGGCGATAATAATGCACTGAAAAGCAAATTTAAACCACCGACGCCCTTTTCAAATCCACTTGCCTTTCATTTCTCCTAATGATRATATTTTATCGAGTGCTTTCATAGTCCTATCACTTTTAAATGCGAAATTAAGACCAAAATGAGTTTAGCCTTTGGTCTTGTCACCTCTCTGTTCACCTATTTGATGKAGTCAATTTTTTCCATTGAAGGAAAAATTGTGAATTGGCTCCTGTGAAAGCTGTCTAACACTCATACACTAATTCATCAAAGTCTTTTAAGAAGATTGCTATTCATTTGAACGTCAACATTCATCATTGCATGATAAAATGAAGTCGATGAAAGAATGGAGTGTTAAGTGCCAGAGCTTATTAACTTGTTCAAAAAGTCGATCGTACAATACATTTTAAGGGTTCCACGTACCCTATAAATAAAAGCTTCTAGCCCGTGGATGAGAATACTTGCATTCACTTGCTGTGGACAAAAGTTGACCTGCTATACGACGAGTTAAAGAGGACGAGGACTCTTAGAGGTAAAATTGTTTAAAATAATGAACATCTAGAAATATCGGTATAGCTCTCTAAGTCAARAATAAACGGACAAACGGACAACAGCGCGCGTTATAAGATAAAGTAACTTGTACTGTTTTTAGATTCGGCGAAACTTTGCGATCTACGAGAGGCTGCACCAACTTTTGGAAGCTTTCCCGGCGCCCTAATCCGAACAATAGTATTGATTAACGTTAAATTTTGTTGTACTTCGAATTCTAGATCTGATTTCTACCATTTTAAAGAATTGACTCCCGCGGGCGTATTTTTTAAGCTAACATGTCTCTGTATGTTTTCAAATTTCAAAGCAAAGAGTATTTGTTAAGAGATCGTGATAGATCTTTTTTCCTAGAAATCCTTGCGTAAACATAGCGTAATGAGATACCACGGAGAGGAAGTCATTGCTACAGAGAAAGATAATGGAAGATGAYTCAGTTGATTTCAGTTGATTTTCCATCCGATGTCATCGGGAAAATAGTGTAAAAGATCGAGATTGAAAATGCGTCGAAAGGAAGCCAATATCAATAYTAAAATGTTCTGCTAGCTATTCATATCAAATAGTCTTCTCGAGATTAAGCATTCGTTTTTAGTTGGTGCTTTCAGCTTTAAAATGCCACTTTGTGCTGACAAACCACTTGTCTAGATTTAGTAGTCAGGAAAATGATGAAAGTTTGAAATCTTGTTGAAACTACGTGAGAATTTGTAAAAACAGAACAGATTCGGTAATTTTTAATCTACTAATATCTTCATATCAATCAAGCTTTCTCACAACTCTGATTTTAGTGTCTTCTTGTGAAAGAAGCCAAAAATGTTTCTGCAACGATGAAACCGGGAAAAAAGATGTACGCATTCCATATACGCTCAGAAAAAAAAACCTTGGAAAAACTAAAAGACTTGTGCCTGAAAAGCAATATTTGTTTTAGTTTTTAAAATCACGAAAAAATGAAAAACAACTTCTCTCGTAATGACGCCGGAAGAGAAATTGACGGAATCACAAGCGCGAGAGAGGAAGAGCTCGTTCACCTCAAGTCCCTTTGGAACAGAGCGAGGGAAGATGCATATACTTTGTATGAATTTTATTAATGAAATATATTTTTATTTTTTGGTTTGTATTTGCTGCGATCTCATATAAAAATTAGATGTAAAAACGGGGTAATACCGTATAAATAACCAACATTTACTATAATTAATCATGATGATAATGTCCAAAAAAGAGAGTTTGTCAGTTACATTTATAGGCACTTTTTACTGTAAGAAAATTAGCTCAAAAATATAACGTAAAAACGATGAATCGAATTGATTACAGTTTTAATTTTTTTTCTCTTATAAAAAGATACAAGTAACCATATGGAATGCTTTTAACAATCATTAGGGGCAATAGTTTTAAGTTTAGTATGTAATTATTCTGTTATCAGAACATTTTTGATTATCCCCTTAAGAAGAATTAGCAGCACACTCCTCTCGCTATCGAAACAATTTCCTGATTTTACTTTATTT